TGACAGTGTTCGTGCTGCCCACCCTACTGTTACGCGTCTTCTCGCCACTGTTGTCACTGACCCGTCGTTTGAGTCTGCTGCTGCGTCTGCCCTGGTCGCTGAGCTTGTCGACTTTGCTGCTGCTTGTCGTCTAGACTACGCCGCCAGTCTTGTTGCTGAGTCTGAGTCTGTCTGTCCTCCGTCCGTCGGGGGTGAGTGTGCTCTTGGCACGGACGTCCTTGAGGACAGGCAGGAGGACTTTGACTCTCTTGCGGCTGCTGTACCTCATCTCGTGGCCTGGTTGCTTGCCCCTGAGGGAGACCCGGATGCACTAGACATCCCCACTCCGCGCTCTTACGCAGAGGCAATCTCGGGTCCCTACTCCTCTCAGTGGCAGACAGCCATGGACGCAGAGATGGCATCCTGGAAATCCACAGGCACCTACGTCGACGAGGTTCCCCCTCCTGGGGCGAACATCGTCGATGGCATGTGGATTTTCAGGGTGAAGCGGCCGCCAGGTTCTCCACCTGTCTTCAAGGCTCGTTACGTTGCTAGAGGCTTCAGTCAGCGTCAGGGGGTTGACTTCTTTCAGACCTTCTCCCCCACCCCGAAGATGACCACTCTTCGGGTGTTGCTGCACGTTGCTGCTCAGCGTGACTACGAGCTGCACTCTCTTGACTTCAGCACAGCTTTCTTGCAGGGCAGCCTGCACGAGGAGATCTGGCTGCGCCGCCCTCCTGGCTTCACTGGGTCGTTCCCTCCTGGTACCCAGTGGAGCCTCCGGCGGCCAGTCTACGGTCTCCGCCAGGCGCCGCGCGAGTGGCACGACACACTGAGGACTACACTTGCGGCCCTTGGGTTTGCTCCTTCCACTGCTGACCCGTCACTGTTTCTGCGCACCGACACGTCGCTGCCGCCGTTCTACATCCTCGTGTACGTCGACGACTTGGTCTTTGCTACTGCTGACACTGAGGCACTTGCTCGTGTGAAGTCGGAGCTGCAGAAGAGACACACCTGCACTGACCTGGGTGAGCTGCGTAGCTACCTTGGCTTGCAGATCACCCTGGACAGAGCACGCCGCACCATTACCCTGACTCAGTCACACATGGTGCAGCAGGTCCTTCAGCGCTTCGGCTTCCAGTTCTCCTCACCACAGGCCACACCTCTGGCTACCAGTCACTCGCTCTCAGCTCCACCTTCGGACGAGTCCGTAGAGCCGAGTGGCCCGTACCCAGAGCTTGTAGGCTGCCTCATGTACCTGATGACTTGCACGCGACCTGACCTCGCGTACCCTCTTAGCATCCTTGCTCGTTACGTTGCGCCTGGGAGACACAGGCGAGAGCACTGGGAGGCTGCTAAGAGGGTGCTGCGTTACTTGTGCAGTACATCAGGCATGGGGCTCGTGCTTGGAGGACGCGACAGAGTTGTCCTCACTGGTCACTCGGACGCTTCTTGGGTGGACGACCTGGCTACGCAGCGGTCGTCGCAGGGTTACACCTTCAGCCTTGGCTCTGGTTCTGTCTCGTGGCGGTCCACCCGCTCTTCTTCTGTTCTCAGCTCTAGTTGTGAGGCTGAGATCTACGCCACGGCCATGGCTGCACAGGAGTTACGCTGGCTCACCTACCTGTTGACTGACTTGGGAGAGCGGCCTAGTTCTCCTCCAGTCCTGTACGGCGACAACAAGGCGGCCCTTGCCTTGTGTCAGGAGCACAGACTGAAGCACAGAACGAAGCACATTGCTCTTCGCTACTTTCTTGCTCGAGAGCTGCAGCAGCGCGGTCAGCTTCGGCTTGTGTACGTGGACTCGAAGGCCAACACTGCTGATATCTTCACCACCATGGCGCTCCCGCCTAGTGATCATCAGCGGCACTGTACTTCTTTAGGCCTTGTGTCCACATTCCCTCATTTGCTTACTGCTTGACTTTCTTTGTACTGTACTTTATATATATCTTGTTGCTTGTCTTGTTCTATATCTAGCACTGCATGTGAACTGGCCTTGTGGCCTTTGCTTGTGCTCGGAGTGTGGTGACGTTGTGATCCACCCTGGGCTTGCGTTGCTTTGCTGGACTGGTCTTGTGACCCCTTGTTCTCCCCCACTTTGCCTATGGGGGTGTGTTAAATTGTAATGTGTTATATATTGGTAGGCTGTAGTGGGGTAGCCAATATGGAGTACAACCCCAACTAGGGTTTGCTACTTGTACCCAACTGTTTCATTCAATGCACCATTCTTGCCTAGTCCTGTTGACAGTGGGAAGCGCGGGGGACGGACGGGCAGGGGGGGGGGGGGAGACGCGACCCTACGTAGAAGGCGCAGCGGGCGCTAACGAACGAGAGAGACGGTCGGCTCTAGGCTCGGGCGGCGCTAGGCTCGGGCGAGACAGGCGCGACTAGGACTACGGAACAAGACAGGCTCGAGTGGAACGAACGTGGACAGGAGGAGTGGGATCCCACAAGATCCTAACCTAGCTGATACCATGTCAGAAACTGAATGATGTGTTCATTGATGTGAGTTGGGGTACATATAGCAAACCCTAACATTTGTACGCCATAAGATAAACCTCACTACAGGCTACAACATTTGACAGTTACCTGCCGGACAGGGTGGTTTGGTTGCGATGGTCGTAATGGCGCGAAGAGTATTGAGGCGAATTTCGCGAAGTGGTAACGGACTACTGTTGGGCTTACAGTGGCGGGAATAGGACTCTACTCAGTACCGGTATGTGGTGTGACGCGAAGGAATGAAAAGTTGCTTCTTTACATATCCAAATCATTTTTCCAAGCCAAAATATGGGCCGATTTTATGCACCGAGTATCAACGTTCATTGTCCGAAGTCGAGTATTGAGTCCAAGAACGGGTATCCAGTCCCTTTTCCTCAAACGGTCTTATTTTCAAACGTACTTTCGCGCAGCGGGTTGGAGCAGGAAGGAGCCTGACGCCATTCCTAGGTAATTCAGAGCGACCTCGGACTTATGCCATTGACTCTTGCTCCCAGAAGGGGAAACGCGTGGTGTCGGGATATCAGTTCTCTGATTTCCGATCGCAAAATCCCAGGTTATAAGGCCGTTCTCTCCGCAGCCCCGTAATCGGCCTTCTGGCCGATACTCAGCTTTCCGAGCATTGCGAGTCCATGACGGTCGAACCCCGTTCCAGGCCACGGCACCCCAGCGAGCTAACGCACGTGCTGAAACCCGCCAATTTGCGGCCGCTCAGCAACACCGCGATTGGCCAAATACGGTCGAAGCGTATCCGCTTGTTTTTCATTCAAGTAGGTACCTAGAGGAGATGGTGCGTTCTGGCACCATCTCTGCTGCGTTCTGGCACCATCTCTGCTGCGTTCTGGCACCATCTCCGTTGCTGCTCCACTGCGAAATGCTTCCAACTCCCTCCATCCCGTCCCTCCCCCTCTCCTTCCACGTCATCCCTCTTCCCGCAGTGCCCGTTTCTCCCTCACCCCACCGCTCCTCACGCCGTGATATTGCTTTCCGCGTGTCGGCGACCCGCACAGCGGGCCAGCGAGCGACGCGCACAGCGGGCTAACGAGCGACGCGCACAGCGGGCTCGTCTCCCGCCGCCTTCACCTGCCACGCCGCGCCCAGCCTCTCGCGTGTCCGCGCATTTCACGGCGAGTCAGCAGCGGCGCATGGCAGCGACAGAGGCGGCGTGGCAGGCGCCGCAAGCCACACTTGGAGTGCGTCAGGCGTTCCCGATTGCGGCGTCACTAGCGTCATCTCCTGCGTTTGTTGTCACACAGCGTTAGTGAGCTTGCGTTGCCTCTTGTTGCAATGCACTCTGCCAATCAGCTCTCTTTCCACACACTCGTTAATTCGTAATGCATGTGCCTTGCAACCGCGTGTTGCGCCGCTTGTTGTGCCCGCGTGTTGCTTCCCCTCACCGCCCCTGCAGGAACCGTTCCTGTGGGATGAGGATGGCAGCGCGCCAGCCGCCATAGCGTTCAACACGTGGCATCCGCGCTATGGCAACCTCCTCGCATGCGTCTCCGAAAACATGGTGAACCGCCCTTCCTGCATGGTGAACCGCCCTTCCTGCATGGTGAACCGCCCTTCCTGCATGGTGAACCGCCCTCCCTGCATGGTGAACCGCCCTGCATGGAGAACCGCCCTCCCTGCATGGTGAACCGCCCTGCATGGTGAACCGCCCTGCCCGCCATGGTGAAGTGTTTCTTTCGTCCCGTTGTGCATGGCATGGTCCAGAACCGCTTCCATGCAAGTACCTGATTTGCGAGTTTGACTGGCCGCTGTGTTGTGTGCGTGGCACTCCCCCCCCAGATCATGCTGTTGGAGTGCATGGCTGATGGCTCCATTGCCTACACACACACCTTCTTCCATCTCATTGTGAGTGCACACAACCACACCCACTGCACCATGCTTCTTACTTACTTACTTGCCAAGTAGTGGTTGATGTGCGGGTAGGGTGCTATCACTTGTGGGTCAAACCCACCTTTGCGCCGTGCCTGCCATGCCATGCCATGCCATGCCATGCCATGCCATGCCATGCCATGCCATGCCATGCCATGCCATGCCATGGCACCCGTGGGCAGGAGAGGGCGGGCGGGGAGGCCGCACGCCCGGTGGATGCCACTCCGCCCACCACATGGGCGAGCGAGCCTAACGCGGACAGCCCTGAAGCGCCCGCACCTCATGTAACATGTGGTATTCGGGTACCTAGATGAGTGGCACCGCAGGTGGTAACCGCACTGTCGTTGTGGGGCACCATTACGTGCGAACGGGTGAGGGTGGGCAGGAGGAGCACGCATGGCCCAAGTAGCTGAGGTGCGCCGAAACTGAAGTGCTTTTGCTTGAACCGACTTGCTGCATATGGAGCGCCTTGCTTTTCCCTTGCCCGAGTGTGCCTGCTGCTGCTCATTGCATTGCACACACACTTGCGTGCAACGTGCATGCCTCTCTGCTCGCTTGCTTGTGTGGCGTCGTCCCATGTGAGAGCAGGCGAGGGGCGTTGAGAGCAGGCGAGGGGCGTTGAGAGCTATACAGCGGTGGCGTGGATGGTGGATGCGAACCAGCGAGTGCTCGTGGCGGCGGGCGGCGAACTGGGTGTGGTTCGCCTTGTTGACTTCCACTCCCGCCGCCCCTTCAAGGTGTGCAAGCCGTGCCACATGCATTGCAAGCTGTGCCACATGCATTGCAAGCCGTGCCACATGCATTGCCGGCCGTGCCACATGCATTGCAAGCCGTGTCACATGCATTGCAAGCCGTGCCACATGCATTGCAAGCCGTGCCACGTGCATTGCAAGCCGTGTCACATGCATCGCATGCATGCTGCTGGTCAGTCATTTGGATGTGAATACATGTCTTGCTCTCTTATGCCATCCCATGCCATGTCCCACCATCTTTTATTGGACGGTCATGCAGACGCTGATGGGGCAGGGAGGTGCCATCACGGATCTGTGTGCGCATCCATCTCAGCCGTCCATTCTCCTCTCTGCCAGCAACGTGAGTCATGCACGTTTCAACCCAATCCCTCACACTCAACCTCACTACCTCACTCATTTTCACTGACTCACCCTCGACCTCACTGCCCACATCCAACATCAGCTTGGTAACACGACACGACACGACACGACACGACACGACACGACACGACACGACACACGGCTGCTGTGCTGTGGGATCGCCATTCTCCTCCACTCCCCCCCTCCCACCCTCTCATTTCCTGCTCACATGCCTGTCCCCTCCTACCGCATTCTATTGCTCATGCTCCACGTCCCTCCATAGCAATCTCTGTGGCCGTCACTCCCCCTCCATCCTACTCTCGCCGATGCCGTCTCACCAAACCCCTTGTCTCCTACTCATGCATCCTTGCTCGCCCTACTGCTGTCCCCCATGCTTGCCCCTGCACCGTGTGCCAGGACACGTCGGTGTGGGTGTGGCACGTGGGCAGCGGCGTGTGCTGCGCCATCCTCCTGGGCCTCCACCGCACGCCCGTGCTCTCCGTCGTGCGCTTGGGGGGGGTGGTGGAGGGGAGGGGGGGGGGGGGAAGTGAGGCGTGCGCGTGGCGCATGGCAGGAGGGTGGGGTGCGGGGCATGGGGCATGGGGGTGGCGGAGTGTGGTAGGAATGGGACGGTCCATGTCAGCGCTTGTATCTCCTTGCTCACTTGCTCGCATGCACGGCCTCTCATGCCCCTTCTCCATTTTTCTTGCCACACTGCCTCTCATGCCCCTTTTCGATTTCTCGTGCCACTGCCTCTCATGCCCCTTTTCGATTTCTCGTGCCACTGCCTCTCATGCCCCTTTTCGATTTCTCGTGCCACTGCCTCTCATGCCCCTTTTCGATTTCTCGTGCCACTGCCTCTCATGCCCCTTTTCGATTTCTCGTGCCACTGCCTCTCATGCCCCTTTTCGATTTCTCGTGCCACTGCCTCTCATGCCCCTTTTCGATTTCTCGTGCCACTGCCTCTCATGCCCCTTTTCGATTTCTCGTGCCACTGCCTCTCATGCCCCTTTTCGATTTCTCGTGCCACTGCCTCTCATGCCGCTTTTCGATTTCTCGTGCCACTGCCTCTCATGCCCCTTTTCGATTTCTCGTGCCACTGCCTCTCATGCCCCTTTTCGATTTCTCGTGCCACTGCCTCTCATGCCCCTTTTCGATTTCTCGTGCCACTGCCTCTCATGCCCCTTTTCCGTTTCTCCTGTCACTGCCTTGTTTTCTCCGTGTCTCGCATCTGCATACATCACTGCTTGGCCCCTTTGACCCGTTTGACCCCATTGACCCGTGGGGGCAGGGCAGGACGTGAGTGGCATCGAGGGCACCACGGTGGTGACGGCGGGGGAAGACGGCAGAGTGGCTGTGTGGGACCTCACAGGTGTGTGTGGGACCTCACAGGTGTGTGTGGGACCTCACAGGTGTGTGTGGGACCTCACAGGTGTGTGTGGGACCTCACAGGTGTGTGTGGGACCTCACAGGTGTGTGTGGGACCTCACAGGTGTGTGTGGGACCTCACAGGTGTGTGTGGGACCTCACAGGTGTGTGTGGGACCTCACAGGTGTGTGTGGGACCTCACAGGTGTGTGTGGGACCTCACAGGTGTGTGTGGGACCTCACAGGTGTGTGTGGGACCTCACAGGTGTGTGTGGGACCTCACAGGTGTGTGTGGGACCTCACAGGTGTGTGTGGGACCTCACAGGTGTGTGTGGGACCTCACAGGTGTGTGTGGGACCTCACAGGTGTGTGTGGGACCTCACAGGTGTGTGTGGGACCTCACAGGTGTGTGTGGGACCTCACAGGTGTGTGTGGGACCTCACAGGTGTGTGTGGGACCTCACAGGTGTGTGTGGGACCTCACAGGTGTGTGTGGGACCTCACAGGTGTGTGTGGGACCTCACAGGTGTGTGTGGGACCTCACAGGTGTGTGTGGGACCTCACAGGTGTGTGTGGGACCTCACAGGTGTGTGTGGGACCTCACAGGTGTGTGTGGGACCTCACAGGTGTGTGTGGGACCTCACAGGTGTGTGTGGGACCTCACAGGTGTGTGTGGGACCTCACAGGTGTGTGTGGGACCTCACAGGTGTGTGTGGGACCTCACAGGTGTGTGTGGGACCTCACAGGTGTGTGTGGGACCTCACAGGTGTGTGTGGGACCTCACAGGTGTGTGTGGGACCTCACAGGTGTGTGTGGGACCTCACAGGTGTGTGTGGGACCTCACAGGTGTGTGTGGGACCTCACAGGTGTGTGTGGGACCTCACAGGTGTGTGTGGGACCTCACAGGTGTGTGTGGGACCTCACAGGTGTGTGTGGGACCTCACAGGTGTGTGTGGGACCTCACAGGTGTGTGTGGGACCTCACAGGTGTGTGTGGGACCTCACAGGTGTGTGTGGGACCTCACAGGTGTGTGTGGGACCTCACAGGTGTGTGTGGGACCTCACAGGTGTGTGTGGGACCTCACAGGTGTGTGTGGGACCTCACAGGTGTGTGTGGGACCTTCAAGGTGTGTGTGGGACCTTCAAGGTGTGTGTGGGACCTTCAAGGTGTGTGTGGGACCTTCAAGGTGTGTGTGGGACCTGAGAGGTGTGTGTGGGACCTGAGAGGTGTGTGTGGGACCGTCAAGGTGTGTGTGGGACCTTCAAGGTGTGTGTGGGACCTGAGAGGTGTGTGTGGGACCTGAGAGGTGTGTGTGGGACGTGGGAGGTGTGAGCGAGTTTCCATGGTGTGCGCCAGTGCTCATATGATGTTTGCTGTTCTCGTCCTCACTCATGCACACGGTGTGCGGGGCGGGGCGGGGCAGAGCAAAGGCATCTCATGCGTGAGGCAGCGGAGTGGACGAGAAGGCCTGCCGACTTTCCCACCAAGCAAGTCATCCTGCCGGTCAGTGCTTGCTGCAAGTCATCCTGCCGGTCAGTGCTTGCTGCAAGTCATCCTGCCGGTCAGTGCTTGCTGCAAGTCATCCTGCCGGTCAGTCCTGCCGGTGTGTGCTTGCTGCAACCTGTGACAACCAAGCTTTCCAGTGCGTGTGGATGAGGCAGCTTTCCACTCTGCTGCCCCATCTCTGCTGCACCATCTCTGCTGCCCCATCTCTGCTGCACCATCTCTGCTGCACCATCTCTGCTGCCCCATTTCTCACTCCCTGTGACCGTGCGGCCTCCTCTACCTCTTGCCGTGCCGGCAGGGCGTTGTGGCAGCGAGGGTGCACACAGTGCCAGTGCAGCGAGGGTGCACACAGTGCCAGTGCAGCAAGCCGCCACGTACGGAAGCCTCTTTGTGTCAATGGTGACTTCATGCTCACAGCCTTGCCACTTGCGCTTTCACACGGAGCCACTCTTGCACAGATGAAGTCATTTGTGATGCTCATCTGTGATGCTCATCTGTGATGCTCATCTGTGATGCTCATCTCATCTGTGATGCTCATCTGTGATGCTCATCTGTGATGCTCATCTGTGATGCTCATCTGTGATGCTCATCTGTGATGCTCATCTGTGATGCTCATCTGTGATGCTCATCTGTGATGCTCATCTGTGATGCTACTTCTGAGTGAATGGCAGTGCTGCTGCTGCGCTTATACAGCGGCAGTGCATGTCACTTCCGTGCATTGCGAGGGCCCCCATTTATGCAAGTTGATGGTTGTTCACAAGGCACCCGCCTTGCCATCATGCGTGCTCAGGACAGGCACGTGCACGTGTGTGTCGTGTGTGCTGCGCTGCAGTGCACGACAGGCGCAGTGCTGCTGTGGCGGTGGACCTTCATGCCCGGGGTCGACATCAAGGAGGTGCGTAGGGGGCACCACGCAACGCCTCTGCTGCTCACTGTGCTGCTCACTGTGCTGCTCACTGTGCTGCTCACTGTGCTGCTCACTGTGCTGCTCACTGTGCTGTTCACTGTGCTGTTCACTGTGCTGTTCACTGTGCTGTTCACTGTGCTGCTCACTGTGCTGCTCACTGTGCTGCTCACTGTGCTGCTCACTGTGCTGCTCACTGTGCTGCTCGCTGTGCTGCTCGCTGTGCTGCTCGCTGTGCTGCTCGCTGTGCTGCTCGCTGTGCTGCTCGCTGTGCTGCTCGCTGTGCTGCTCGCTGTGCTGCTCGCTGTGCTGCTCGCTGTGCTGCTCGCTGTGCTGCTCGCTGTGCTGCTCGCTGTGCTGCTCACTGTGCTGCTCGCATGGTCATCACGAATTGTTGTATCCTTGTTGGCTCTACGTCGCGCATCGTTGAATCGACTCCTAATCTTTCCACGGTGCATCACTTATGGTGCGCCGCCAATGCCTGATTGCCGTGCCATGCCATGCCACGCCATGCCATGCCATGCCATGCCGTGCCATGCCATGCCATGCCATGCCGTGCCATGCCGTGCCATGCCATGCCATGCCATGCCATGCCAAGCCGTGCCATGCCATGCCTTGCTCCAGCATGTGTTTATCCACTGCCATCTCATGCCATCTCATGCCATCTCATGCCAACTCATGCCATCTCATGCCATCTCATGCCATCTCATGCCATCTCATGCCATCTCATGCCATCTCATGCCATCTCATGCCATCTCATGCCATCTCATGCCATCTCATGCCATCTCATGCCATCTCATGCCATCTCATGCCATCTCATGCCATCTCATGCCATCTCATGCCATCTCATGCCATCTCGTGCCATCTCATGCCATCTCATGCCATCTCATGCCATCTCATGCCATCTCATGCCATCTCATGCCATCTCATGCCATCTCATGCCATCTCATGCCATCTCATGCCATCTCATGCCATCTCATGCCATCACATGCCATCTCATGCCATCTCATGCCGTCTCATGCCATCTCATGCCATCTCATGCCATCTCATGCCCTCTCAACCACTGCATGCCCGTGTCCTGCCATGCCCGTGTCCTGCCATGGATCCATGCCTCCCCACCCACAGGGCACCTCCCAAGCACTCCTCCACCTGCACACACCTCCCCCCTCTGCTGCGCGCCCACCCGCTGTTGACAACGCCACTCACAGCGCACCCTCTCCTCCACGCCCCCTGCGCTTCGCCATGACGGCCGCACGGTCGTGGTAGGCACCATCGTGGTAGGCACCATCGTGGTAGGCACCATCGTGGTAGGCACCATCGTGGTAGGCACCATCGTGGTAGGCACCATCGTGGTAGGCACCATCGTGGTAGGCACCATCGTGGTAGGCACCATCGTGGTAGGCACCATCGTGGTAGGCACCATCGTGGTAGGCACCATCGTGGTAGGCACCATCGTGGTAGGCACCATCGTGGTAGGCACCATCGTGGTAGGCACCATCGTGGTAGGCACCATCGTGGTAGGCACCATCGTGGTAGGCACCATCGTGGTAGGCACCATCGTGGTAGGCACCATCGTGGTAGGCACCATCGTGGTAGGCACCATCGTGGTAGGCACCATCGTGGTAGGCACCATCGTGGTAGGCACCATCGTGGTAGGCACCATCGTGGTAGGCACCATCGTGGTAGGCACCATCGTGGTAGGCACCATCGTGGTAGGCACCATCGTGGTAGGCACCATCGTGGTAGGCACCATCGTGGTAGGCACCATCGTTGTAGGCACCATCGTGGTAGGCACCATCGTGGTAGGCACCATCGTGGTAGGCACCATCGTGGTAGGCACCATCGTGGTAGGCACCATCGTGGTAGGCACCATCGTGGTAGGCACCATCGTGGTAGGCACCATCGTGGTAGGCACCATCGTGGTAGGCACCATCGTGGTAGGCACCATCGTGGTAGGCACCATCGTGGTAGGCACCATCGTGGTAGGCACCATCGTGGTAGGCACCATCGTGGTAGGCACCATCGTGGTAGGCACCCTCGTGGTAGGCACCATCGTGGTAGGCACCATTGTGGTAGGCACCCTCGTGGTAGGCACCCCTGTGCTGAGCTTCTCACTCATGCTGCCAACACCTGCATGCCTTGTCCTCCCCTGTCGACACCTGCATGCCTTGTCCTCCCCTGTCGACACCTGCATGCCTTGTCTTCCCCTGTCGACACCTGCATGCCTTGTCTTCCCCTGTCGAGCCTTACTCAGCACCATGACCATTCCCTGCCGTCACTGTTCTGCACTGGGTGGGCACAATGAGCCTGCCAGGGCACATGGTGCATCTGCCAGGGCACATGGTGCATCTGTCTCACCATGTGAGGGCATGTGCGGGGTGGGTGCATGGTGCATGGTGCATGGTGCATGGTGAATGCAGGAAGTGGTGCCAGACAGCGAGGATGAGTTGTGATGCCGCCTCGCCTCGCCCTCATGCCACCTCGCCGTGCGGCCAGCTGTCTGTGAAGTTGCCTGCTCATCACTCACGCGCTAGTCGGCCTTCAGCTCGTCCCTGGGGTTACCGTCATACCCCGGATAGAAGCGCCCCTGGGGTTGTAATAAAACACTGTTTTTTAGGGGGTGCGCTTATAATCGAGGAAATTTATAAGCGCCGGCGTCTATAGAATGGCAAAAATGAAATTAAGTTTGTTTTGCACCAAACTGTAGATCTCAGTTTGCCCATTGTAATCGAGTCGAAAATATATGGGGTCGCGAATCTGATTCTCGCGCAGCTTGGCAGGGATTAATTCCCTGCCAACACATGCTGACTAAGTGACAGCACGTGCTGACTAGACGCGCAGAAAGTGAGATGTGAGTGGGAAACTGAAATTGTACTTCGTTTCCCTGCTAAGGTGAAATTCGTTTCTGTACAACGGTACTGATTTTCAAATAAAAATCGACATGCGCTTATAATAAATCATGAATTTTTAGGGGGTGCGCTTATAATCGAGGACCGGATATAAGCGCCCTCATCCTTTTATAAGCGTCGGCGCATATCCGAGGCCTGCGCTTCTATCCGGGGTCTTACGGTACCGGTACTGTTTTTACCCAGGATTTAGGACATCCCGAGGCCTCAGGGCAACTCTTAATTTGTTTCCAGAATGTCAGAATGAAGAATGGATGATGCATTGATGTTGGTTGGGGTACATATAGCTAACCCTAAGTTTTGTACCCCCTAAGACAAACCTCACTATAGGCTACAACATTTGACACACCCCCATAGCCTAAGTGAGGGGTGTCTAGCAGAACCAAACGAGTACGGTCACAAGACCAGTCCAAGAAACGAAGCTCAGGGTGGATCACAACGTCACCACACAGTCTGAGCACAAACAACAGTGGCCACAAGGCCAGTCCAAGAAGTAACAGAGATATATAGAAAGCAAAGTAAACAGTACACTCAAGTCTAAGCAACACGAGAACCAGTGTCAACAAGGCCTAACTGCACACAGCACCTCTGGTGGTCACAAGGCGGAAGCGCCTTGGTGAAGATGTCTGCAGTGTTGGCCTCGGACTCCACAAACTCAAAGCGAGCCTGTCCACGCCTCTGCAACTCTCGCAGAAGAAAGTACCTGACGTGAATGTGCTTCACTCTGCTCTCCAGTCGTGGCTCTCGACAAAGGAGAATAGACGCCTTGTTGTCAGTGAACAAGGTCGGTGCAGAGCTCGGCCGCTCACCAAGGTCGGTGAGCAAGAAGGTCAACCAACGCAGCTCCTGTGCCGCCATGGCACCAGCGTAGATCTCAGCCTCAGCTGTAGAGGTCGAGACCGAAGAGGAGCGCGTGGACCGCCAGGAAACAGCTCCAGAACCCAGGCTGAAACAGTACCCCTGAGTAGACCTGTGAGTCTCAGCGTCGTCAGCGTAAGAAGAGTCACAGTGACCAGTAAGTACGACAGACTGCTGCCCTCCAAGAACTAGCCCCACGCCTGATGTCGTCGCTAGGTACTTCGCCACCCTCACAGCTGCTGTCCAGTGAACAGGACGGTGTCTCCCTGGCGCAACAAAGCGCGCAAGAACGCTGAGAGGGAAGGCGAGGTCCGGGCGAGTACAAGTCATCAGGTACATGAGGCAACCCACAAGCTCTGCGTAGGGACCACTAGGCTCGAACGGCTCGTCAGGAAAGGGTCCAGTGAGTCTGTGGTCAACAGCAAGAGGTGTGCGCTGTACTGTGGAGTGCTGAAGCCCGAACCGCTGAAGGACCTGCTGCACCATGTGTGACTGTGAAAGTGTAATGGTGCGAGCAGCTCTGTCCCTGGTGATCTGCAGGCCAAGGTAGTGGCGCAGCTCACCAAGATCAGTGCAGGTGTGTCTCTTCTGCAGTTCGGACTTCACGTGTGCCAAAGCAACCCTGTCAGGGGTGGCGAAAACAAGGTCGTCAACGTAGACCAGAACAAAGAAAGGTGTGGGGCCACGACGAACGAACAGCGACGGGTCAGCAGAAGACGGCTGGAACCCAAGGTCAGACAGGGTAGAACGCAGGGTGTCGTGCCACTCACGAGGAGCCTGACGAAGACCGTAAACCGGTCGCCTCAGCCTCCACTGGGTCCCAGGAGGGAAAGAGCCAGTGAAGGCAGAGGGACGACGCAACCAGACCTCCTCGTGAAGACTGCCCTGAAGGAAAGCAGTAGAGAAGTCGAGAGAGTGTAACTCGTAGTCTCTCTGTGCTGCTACGTGTAGTAACACCCGAAGAGTGGTCATCTTCGGGGTGGGCGCGAAGGTCTGAAAGAAGTCAACTCCTGTCAGAATGTTATTATTGTCTAGCCTGTAGTGGGGTGTGTCGTGATAGTAGGTATACTGAGGAGCCATAGCTAGGGTTGACCTAGCTAGGCAAGAGAGAATGAAGGCAAAAGAGGACTGAACTAGCAAGAATGGGGATACAAATAGCAAACCCTAGAAGGGTTGTACTCGCTACAGAGCACCCCACTACAGGCTAGAGCATAATATTCTGACACACCCCCATAGCCAAAGTGGGGTGTAATCAGCAGAGGAAACAAAGCAGTACAAGCTCAGGGTGGATCACGATGTCACCACACATTCTGAGCACAAGCAAGAAGCAATAGTTTAAGGTGCACAATTATGAGCAAAGCTAGAGGCAGTCACAAAAGGGGCAAGTGAGGAGGAGGAGGCGAGACTGTAGGTGGAGAGGAGATAAGAGGCGTCGGCTGAAGCTGCAGACACACGGGCAACAGGAGTCAAACTGGCTCAGTGGCTACCGGAACAAGCGCCCCGGACTACAGGAGTAACTGGCTCCGCGGCTAAGAAGAGCGGCAGACGAGCAACGGACCCACGGGCGACTGGCGCAGCTGGCTACGACTGGGCTACCGGAACAAGCGCCCCGGACTACAGGTGCTGCTGACGACAAGACGGCAGCCTCCGCTCAACCTCCCCCGACTGTCCCACCCCCCTCTCACACACCCCCTGCTGGAACCCTAGCTCCACTCCGACGGTACCCCCCTTAGACCCCAAACCCTAGGCTCCCACACACCACCCCCCTCAGCGGCAGCTGTAGCAGAGGGAGACGAGGGAGGAGGAGGAGCAGGGAACGGCACACTGAAGCTGCACCCCCATACCCCCCACCCCAAACCCTAATCCAGGAGAACGGGCAGAAGGAGGGGTGGGGCGCCTTCAGAAGCACGGGGGACAGCGGGGAGGACAGGGGAAGCGAAGAACGGGCCGCCCACGGGCCTGGCACCGCCTCCCGAACCGCGCGCAGGCGGTCCGAGCCGCGCGCGGGCCTGGCGCAGCCCGTACGGGCCGCGCGCGTGCCTGGCGCAGCCCGTACGGGCCGCGCGCGGGCCTGGCGCAGCCCGTACGGGCCGCGCGCGGGCCTGGCGCAGCCCGTACGGGCCGCGCGCGGGCCTGGCGCAGCCCGTACGGGCCGCGCGCAGGCCTGGCGCAGCCCGTACGGGCCGCGTGCCGGGTGTACGGGCCGCGTGCAGGCCACGACGGGCGACGGGGGGCGACGCGCGGGTCCCCGTCGCCCGTCGCAGCGCCTCCCGGGGGCGACGTGCCGAGTGACGGGGCAGGAACCCGTCGCGCGCCTCGGGGCACACGGCGGGCAGAGAACCGCCGCGCGCCTCGGGGCGCACGGCGGGCAGAAAACCGCCGCGCGCCTCGGGGCGCACGGCGGGCTGAAAACCCTAGTTTCGACGCCGCGCACCACGGGGCGCGCGGCGGACAGGGAGTAGCAGTAGCAGCGGAAGCAGTGAAGTGGGCCCACAGGCCAGGAACGTTAAGCTCTAATACCATGTCGTGATAGTAGGTATACTGAGGAGCCATAGCTAGGGTTGACCTAGCTAGGCAAGAGAGAATGAAGGCAAAAGAGGACTGAACTAGCAAGAATGGGGATACAAATAGCAAACCCTAGAAGGGTTGTACTCGCTACAGAGCACCCCACTACAGGCTAGAGCATAATATTCTGACAGGGTGCTCTATAGCGAGTACAACCCAGTTAGGGTTTGCTATATGTACCCCAACTGCTGCTAGTGAAACCTCCTCTCCTTTCAATCATTCTTGCCTAGTTCTGTTGACATGCTATCAGAGCAGGTCGACCCTCCTGGGTCGATCCTGTGGGTGGGCCCACCACCTAATGCTTCCGCTGCTTTACTTCCTGCCGGGCGCCTCGGGCGCGCGACGACTTCTTCCTGCCGCGCGCTCCGCGCGGCTAAATTTTTCTAGGGTTTCGGCGGTTTTCATCCCGCCGTGCGCTCGGGGCGCGCGGCGGTTTTCTGCACGCCGTGCGCCCCGAGGCGCGCGGCGGTTTCCCACCGTCGAAGTGCCCCCCGTCGCCCGTCGAAGCGCCCTCCCCCCGTCGCCCGTCGAAGCGCCCCCGTCGCCCGTCGGAGCGCCCCCCGTCGCCCGCCAAAACGCCCCCGTCGCCCGTCGAAGCGCCCCTGGGACCCGCGCGCGGCCCGTACGGGCTGCGCCAGGCCCGCGCGCGGCCCGTACGGGCTGCGCCAGGCCCGCGCGCGGCCCGTACGGGCTGCGCCAGGCCCGCGCGCGGCCCGTACAGCCCGCGCGCGGCCCGTACGGGCGGCGCCAGGCCCGCGCGCGGCCCGTACGGGCTGCGCCAGGCCAGCGCGCGGCGCGGGCAGCCTGCGCGCGCCTCGTCCGTCCCCCTCTCGCCGTCCCCCGCGCTCCTGCCCCTATCCCACCCGTTTTAGGGTTTGGGGATGTAGAGTGTGGGGGTGGCGGGTGTGGGGGTGCCGGTTGTGTGCCCCGTCCCCTCCTTCTCCTCCTCCTCCGTCTCCCGCTGCTGCAGCTGCCGCTCAGGGGGGTGGTTGTGTGGGGAGCCGAAGGAGTGGTCCTAGGGGGGTGAAGGGGGAGTGGAGCTAGGGGCGCAGCAGGGGGTGTGTGTCGAGGGGTGTGGGACTGTTGGGGGAGGTTGAGCGGAGGTAGCCGTCGTGACGCCAGCA